TAACGAAATCACTATACCACCTAAGTTGGTCGAATGACATAGCGTGATCTCCATAGACTTCACCTCTCGCTTTCTCAACCCCTAACCACACAACCCGGTAACTCATATACAAATCGTAGTCATTTTTCATATCGAACACAATGTCCGTAGGACGCGTCAGTGGTTGAGCACGCACCCGATCTACGACAACGCTTGAAACCAAATCGGACCCCGTACGTGGGTTTATATGTGTTCAAACAGCAGCTCCACAACTGTGCACACTATCAAACTTCTTAACACATAAAATCCCATTCGATGACAACACCCTCACATGCACTGACCACGCGCATCCTGTGGACGCTGCAAACTTACAAATTACCGTGATGCGAACTGAATCATTCTTCAAATACTTGAATTGAAACCCGCATTCCACGGCATACTTGCATAATATTTCCCGAAATTCATTGGCACCACTGACGAAACATTGTCCAACATGGGTAATCTTGAATGCCCATTGAGCAGACAGGTAACAAGTGAAAATAAGCCAACATGCATGCTTCATATTTAATTATTACATCATGAAACTGTTTTGATGTCCGAATTGAAATGAACAGGAAACAATGTTATAAAAAAAACAGAAAATGTGCGAAGTTCAATGAATTGGGAAAACAACCACAAACCGACACAGAAAATAAACTTGTTGTGACATTACTAAATTGGCTCCTTGCATGTCTTCCTATTGTGGTTGCCAATTTTTCCACACCGACCACATCGGATCCGTTGCACAACCTCACCATTTGATGGAATTCGTTTACGTTTCAACCTGCCAGGCGGACGCTTCACCTTTGGGGGCACTATCATAAAATCGTTGGGCGTAAATGCCGGTTTCTCAACAGTTGGAATCAGAAATATTGTTCCGCTATATGAAGCTTTGAATTCGTCAATACGATAGTACGTTTCAATAGAATCATATATATTCCGTCTACTATTACGGAAAGCGACCACAGCATGAGAACACAAAAACCCATTCAGTTGTCACTGGAAACATGAACACGATCGCCTTGCCACATCAACAAAAATAGAGGGCTGACTGTGCACCTCGTAAACATTGTCATCAGCCTGATTAACACTCCAACCCCTACTGTCATTATAAGCCGTGACCAATTTCTTCTCCATTTTCGGGCATAATACGTCGGTCCATTCCCTTGCCTTGACTCTACGCTCCGCCATTTGTTCCATTATTTGACCCCTAACCATGTCGACCAACCTAGTAATCGGAAGATGATGCGCCTCCCGTATCTAGTTGTTAAAAGATTCAGCTGCACTCGACCACATCTCACCGTAACGTTGCCCCCTGCAAGAGAATAATAACATTAAACACAAAGTTTTTAGTAAAACAACAAACTAGTAAGCATGTTAGCGTATGTAAGAAATTGGGAAAAAATGAACCCAATAACGTAATACGTAGAACGGGTGCAATCAAGCTTACATGAAATATGCATTAGCCCAGTGGGATGGATGCAATTCTTTCAAAAAGTTTTCAATTACAGCCGGGTTACACTCTTTCAACACCTCTATTTTCTGATTATAAGATGGTATTGTAAGGGCATAAGCACATTCTCGAAGCTTCCGCATCAACCCAACTTTACGGGATGCATTAACGTATTTCATTTGGTCTCTCAAATTCATTTGAAGATGTAGCAAACAAAATGCGTGATGTGCTGAAGGGAAAATAATTGGCATAGATTGTAAGAGACTCGCGTGACGATTCGATACGAATGTCAACGTACGTCCGTCACCCATGACTTCTTTAAGATTTCGTAAAAACCACTCCCAATTTTGTTTATTTTCAGAATCAACAATTGCGAAGGCCACCGGAAACAAGCCTGCACAAAAATAGTAGACAAAAGCATAATTGGAGTACACGCCATGGAGTGCACATATGAAATTTTGCGTACGGTACATATATATGTAAAAGATTCATAACAAATAATCGGAAATGAAATGTGACAAATTTTTTTCTTAGCACTGTAATAAAGGAAAAAATTTGACACGTCACCTTTATTGCCATCTTTTGCAGTAGCAGCTAACAAATTCCCCTTGAATCTACCTTTCAGAAACGTGCCATCCAAAAAAAGTAACGGCCGACAATGGTTGAACCCATCTATACATGCACGGAAGGATATAAAATACCGAACGAACCTCCCAGTTTGTTGGTGAAATTCAAGGTTAATGTAACTATTTGGGTTCTTCTCCATAACGGAATCACTGTACCACCTAAGTTGGTCGAATGACATAGCGTGATCTCCATAGACTTGACCTCTCACTTTCTCAACTCCTAACCACGCAACTCGGTAACTAATATCCAAACCGTAGTCATTTTTCATATCGAAAACAATATCCGTAGGACGCGTCAGTGGCTGAGCACGCACCCGATCTACGACAACGCTTAAAACCAAATTGGACCCCGTACGTGGGTTTGTATGTGTACGAACAGCAGCTCCACAATTATGCACACTATCCAACTTCTTAACACATAAAATCCCATTTGATGACAACACCCTCGCATGCACTGACCACGCGCATCCTGTGGATTCTGCAAACTTACAAACTGCCGTAATGCGAACTGAATCATTCTTCAAATACTTGAATTAAAACCCGCGTTTCACGGCATACTTGCATAATATTTCCCGAAATTCACTAACACCCCCGGCGAAACATTGTCCAACATGTGTAATCCCGAATGCCCATTGAGCAGACAAGAATGTCTTTGATTTGTTAGGACAATATGTTGGTAACAGATCCGTTTGATCATCCATACTGAACGTTTGATTACCAAAATTCGACTTCTGACCTTCATGGCAATACGCACCCCCATAGTTACCACCCCTCGGAACGTCCCGGATCTGAATAAGAACATCAAAATGTTTCAGCCCAAATGACTTCGCAAGGCACAACATGTTTTGGATATCGTCATCGTTGTCAACCTTAAACTTCTTATACCCGGGGCCATCCCATAACATATACACTGCATCCCGTACCAAGTCGTCGAACTTGCACAAATATCATCGACCAGTTGCGTGAATGTCATATGTGGCTGCAACCGAGCAACAACATTGGTTTTCCCATAAGTGCACAACAACAACACAACATCCATACGTGTCACGCAACCCATAATCGAACCATTAGACGGCTAACGAGTACGACAATGAATGAATAATAACATCACAGTAGGCAAACAAGAAAACACATTTCACGAAAGGGAAACACTCATTGCAAGTAAAACACCGAAACAACAAAATTCGTAACCAAAAATATCATCACGAACACGTTACAATAAAGGGAAAAAAAAAAAGAAACAACACAACAGGGCATACATGAATGTTACCAGAACAAACAACCCGTAAGGTTAGCCGAAAAACACAGAAATCATGTACCGAAACACAACTATTTACGGTGGTTATTTGGCAAAAACAGAGAAATAAAATCAGCCGTAACATGCACTACATACACAACACTCCCACACTGTACCCACTTTCAAAAACCTTAACCATTAAGCTACACAACAACACCCACTGACATTAAAACACAACCAACATAAAAATCTTTACAACCACAGAACATGAACAAAACAATGCGCTGAAGATATATCTAAAAGCCAGAATAGAACGAAGGTAACGTTACCAGAATCAACGTTGATAACACAATCATATGTAAAAATATTTACAACCACAAAACATCAAGAAAACATAGCGCTGAATATGTATGAGACAGCCACATGAAAACAAACGTGATGTTACAGGGATCGACGTAAAACAAACATGATGTTACAGGGATCGACGTTGATGTTGATGTAGTTAATGCGGAAACATTCAATACATCCACCCACAATAAAAAAAAGGCATAAAAAAGGAGAAAACAAGGAGACAAACCTATGTCACAAAGGCTTCTGATACACCAAACTCTGAACCAATGGCACAAAACAATGAACAGGTTACGATTCCACAAATCCCGTTTTTCCCAAACCCTTGCACACATTAACATTACAAATGTCCCAAATAAAGAAACCGACTCCCCACCAATTTAGGCAACAAACTTCCCACAAAAGAGGTATAATTGTAACCTGCAAAATAATCAAAATTAAGTAAATAACATTACCAAAAAAAAATAGGACTAAATGGTGCATAAGAAAACATTTAGGACTAAATGGTTCCACTTTTCAGAAAATAGGATTTATGGGTAAATTTTCCTAACTATTTATGTTAATTGGATTATATTTTGTGATTGTGATTGAACTTAATTTATTTTTCAATACAGCGATTGTATTTTTAATCTATGTTTTTAGAAAGAAAAAAAATGGATTTTATTTATTAGGTTCACATAAAGTACTCACTATTGATGATAATGATTAAATTGTATTTTGTAATTGGGTTTTTTAACTCACTGTTTTATTTTATTTTTTAAATGATTGTGTTTTTAACTATCAATTAACTTAATTTGTGATTGGGTTTTTAACTCACTATATTTTTTGAATAGCCGATAGATGTTTTAATTTTAATTACTAGTAAAAAAATAATTGTATTTTTTAATTACCAATTGACTTCATTGCTTTTTTTATTTTTATGAACAAAAATGTGATTGTATTTTTTTACACTCCGTTTTGATCACACGGCAATTTTATTTTTTTAAATGATTGTATTTTTTTATACTCCATTTAATTTGTCTTTTGAAAAAAAAAATAAATTGTATTCATGTTTTTTTAATGCAATCACACTTTGATTGTATTTTTAATCTATGTTTTTTGAAAGAAAAAAAAAAATTAGATTGTATTCATTAGGTTTACATAAAGTACCCACTATTGATGATGATTCAATTGTATTTTGTAATTGGATTTTTTAACTCACTGTATTTTTTCAAAAAAAATGGTTGTGCGTTTTAACTATCAATTAACTTAATTTGTGATTGGATTTTTAACTCATTATGTTTTTTGAAAAAAAATAATAATTTTATTTTTTTAATTACCAATTGATTTCATTATTTTTTTTTTTTATGTGCAAAAATGTGATTCTGTTTTCTTACACTCTGTTTTGATCACACGGTGATTTTATTTTTTAAAATGATTGTGTTTTTTTTACACTCCATTTAATCTGTGTTTTTTAAAGAAAAAAAAAAGAAAGAAAGATTGTATTCATGTTTTTTTTAATACAATCACACGGTGATTATATTTTTAATCTATGTGTTTTGTAGAAAAAAATAGATTGTATTCATTAGGTTGACATAAAGTAACCACTATTAATGATGATTAGATTGTATTTTGTGATTATGATTGGATTTAATTTAATTTTTAATATGGTGATTGTATTTTTAATTTTTTTTTTATAAATAAAAAAAATGAATTGTATTCATTAGTGTGGGGGCCGAATACATGGAAAAAGCAGATGGTGCGTACCATTAGAAGACTGATATTAACCGGCTATATCCTACGAGAGTGGGGAGCCGAATATAATATATGTGCCGAATAAGTGTAAGTCCTTAGGGCCAAATAAAAGAAAGGACAATGATTAAAAAGTAGGCCCTAGCCCCAAGGATCAAAAAGAACAGGTATAAATACAGGAACAACGGTTGTAGAAAGGTATGTAAGAATCACTTCACAAAACTTAGTAAAGAAGCTATCCTGAGTGTCTGAACTAACTTGTCTGTCGCAGTGCTAATTCTGGCACCCCCGACCGGAGTGTTTGTGTCTTTTCAAGTGACTAGCTGAGGATCACTAGCGTCTCCAAGGATCTGAAGAGTATTTCCAAAACCACTTCTCCACAATTGACGTCATCTGTGGGAATACTCAAATACATCCATGGCAGGTGTAACTGAAGATCCTCCAGTAGCCATTGACGAGACCGCACAGGGAGATGACCTCACTCCAGCAAATATGCTCGGAAAATAAACCATCGCTGCAAGACGCGCCTTGAACTTCGACTCACCAACGACCTCAGCGCACGAGACAATGCAAGCGATCATCGAACAAGCAAAGCAGAATGAACACAGGCTGGAGAACATGATCGCTGAAAATGAACGTCTCCGTCAAGATTTGGCCCCCGAAGTCGCAAAATCGAGAGAAGCCATGCGCCAAAATCCCGAACGACCCCCGAGGGCCGGTGGACAACGACCTCGAGCCCGACCAGAGGATACCGATAGCGACTCCAACTCATTAACCACAGAGCTCAACAAGAAGGGACGATCTGAAACTCCCAGCTCCTCCGAAAAGAGTCTACATACAAGGAACAAGCGCAGGAGGAGCAGTTCAGACGAAGAGGACCAACACGATCCTTTTGTCCGACGAATTGCAAGGGCGACCCTGCCCAAGAAGTTCAAAGCTCCGTCATTCACTCTCTACGATGGAAAATCAGACCCCATTGATCATATCCGTCACTATAAGCAGGCCATGACATTGCATGCAGACAACGAAGCCTTCATGTGCCGAATATTCCCAACAGCCTGGGGCCATTAGCTGTCAGGTGGTATTACAAGTTGGAGCCAGCCTCGATCAAAAGTTTCCATCAATTACAGAAATCCTTCAGGGCCAGGTTCATCACCAACGAGGTGCAACCGAAACAGGCCGACTCTCTCTAGGCTATGCAGATTCAGTCAGGAGAAACGCTCAAAGCGTATTCGGCGCGCTATTGGGAGTGCTTCAACCTCGTCGACGACGCTTGCAACGACTCCATGGCCATCACCGCCTTCAAAATGGGACTACATCCTGACAGTCCTCTTCGCAGTTCCCTGACCAGAAGACCCCCCAAAACAGTCTGGGCGTTGATGAAGAAAGTTGAAGAGTATTGCAAGGTGGAAGACGATGCCTTGAGAATAAAAGCCGGCCAAATGTCCAACAAAACGGCCCCCCCTGAAATTGCTCAACCAATAAGTTCCGCGCCACCTCCTAGCCCAGAGCCTTGGCAACGCGCTAAACGAGACAAAAGGCGGGATAATCACCGATCAAGCAATCAATGCTCCCACCGGACGAATGAACAACTACAAGTCGACAGCAGGCGTTCGAGGCGTGCCGATAAGAAGTACACAGAGTTGTCAGAACCAATCGTTGCAATAATGACCAAAGTCCAACACCTTCCATTTTTCAAATGGCCGTCAAAGATGGTGGGGCTGCCCGACACGCGAAAGAGAGATAGGCGGTGCGAATATCACAAAGATCACGGCCACGAAACAGAAAGTTGTTACGCATTAAAAGATCACCTGGAAGAACTGATGCAAGACGGCCGACTGCAACAGTATGTGAGAAAGGGAAAGCCAACTCAGGCACTGGCCTTAAGGCAGGACTCACCTCCACTTGGCGTGATCCATATGATCTACAGCCTGCCTACACCCCCAACCGTGCACACAATTCAGTCGTATCTAATCCCCCAAAAGCAACGTATTCCGATTGAATGGCCCAAAGAAGCTCCGACAATTACTTACAATGACTCCTATCTTAGCGGCACAATAGCTTCCCACATCGATCCGTTGGTCATTAAATTACGCATAAATCGGTTCACCATTGAACACATTCTCATAGACCCGGGGAGTACTTCAGAGGTTATGTATTACCAAACTTTCATCAATCTCGGCCTCAACGAGTCAGATCTGTCTCTAGCGCCTCACCCGTTGTTCGGCTTTAATATGAATCCTGAATACCCGTTAGGAAAGATCATACTACTTGTTCGAGCGAGCTCCAGAACGGTCGAAGTAGAATTCCTGGTCGTAAAGTTCCCTTCGCCGTATAATGTCATCATGGGGCGAACCTAGATACATATTATGAAGGTTGTTCCAAGCACTTATCATCAGCTTGTGCGCTTCCTGACAGCCCATGGCATTGAAGAAATCCGTGGCTCCCCCCAATCGGCACAAGTAGAGATTTAATGAATACCCTATCACTGACCCGACCTGTGGGCTTTGATACTTGTATATATATCACTTCTGCAATGCAAACCATTTTTCTTCGTGGCTCCATTTATTTCTCAACGCCCCCTTTCGT